TTAAAAATATACTTAGCAGCAGGAAATTAAAAAGTTTACATTTTTTATTACGATTTGTTTACCTATACCGTTTTATACTATTTATCACATATAGTAACGCGACAACCTTGATTATTCAAATGGTAAATAATAAGTAAAAATAGGCTATTTATTACAAAAGTTTTACGAACAATTAAAAAAAGTTAACAAAAAATTTTACATATTAAAAGAAAGAAAAAAATAAAAAAACATTATTTTCTATTAGAAATATGATTGTCAAAAAAGCATTCCAGACACATAAGATGTTCCTCACAAGTTTCACATTTGGTTTTAACTTGTCTTGAATTTTTTGTTGCGTATTCTCGCCCATTGGCATCCTTATGTAGGGTTTTATCTTGTTGTCTAGGGTTTAATTAAATGGTCACAGGTCGATTCGAAATTAGAACAAACACTTTACTGTTGAACTCGTAAATTACAGGAATGAATATACAACTATAATGAATGTAACTATAACTTAAAATAGGACCGCGGCTTAATAGCATAAATATTAACGTCTTTCGTCGTTTAGAGATGATATGCCGTCTTATGCATATCACCTCTTCGTCGTGAGTGCTTTTCTTACACTGTGTACTCGACCCCCGGTCAAGCATTCAGCAATGCTACTTAAGTCTGGATTTCGACTCGCGGTTCGTGATAAATATGGAAGTTAAAAATGGGCTACTGAAATAATTTTTTGTAATTAATTTATTTGATGACAAATGCAATCCTACACTTATATTTTTTGTAGCATATAGCACAACGTCCTTTTTTTCAGTTGGGATCAATCTGTGTTTTAGTTGATTTTGCAGTTGAAAGTCTAAAGGATTTTCTTCTTTTTTTTTTTCAAAAGCAAGCATTTTGAAACATAAACTTTCTCGTAATTCTGTTATTTGTTTTTGATCTACGTTGTTATTGTTTTTATTGAATAAATAACAAGCATTTGCGACACAGGTTCCAGTAATTAATTCTACTGCAACTTTACGGTACCATTTAAGACTTCGTCTTACAGAAGTTGAATATGACGACATCAGGTCAGATAAATCAATAAACGTTTTTGCTTTGTTATATTCAACAACTGTCATGGGTTTAAATTTATATATTCTGCCTGGAACTTCAACTAGCGTTTCATCATGTTTTGTTGTGAGCATCAACACGTCCCTTTTATCTTTCCATTTGAATAGAACTATGCCATCTTTCTCTCTGCCTATAATTTCGTCTTTTTTCAATTTTGTTGACAAAATTTCTTTTGGAATCCCTTTCCTATTTTTTTTTTTTTTTGAGTGTCCCGACAAGATGGGTTTTTCTTTCAAGTAATTTTTGGGCTAACTCGGTGCTGGTATACCAGTTATCGGTATACAGAGTCATGCCTTTATCAAGACACTCACCCATAAGTTCAAGAACAATCTTCGTGGCTACCAGCATGTCATTTGATTTTTCTGTTCCGCAATATATTTTACAATGGTAAGTATACCCTCCAGGGAGACATAGTTTGAAAAGATTACTTCCAAATTTATGCCTTTTTCTCCTTCCGGTCTCCTTCTTCGCATTGTTCATTGTTAGCGAAATGCCACATTCTTAGAATATTTTTAAAGCGGTTTCGAGACATTCGGTTTGCCGCTTCAGACCAATAAATTTCAAAACGTTTTCACAGAATAATCTGTGATTTTCGGTTTTTTGTCTAAACCCATCCATAGCAGAACACCCAAAAAATAATACATTTCTTCGCACGTCACGTTTGTCCATTTACTTCTAGTCTAGAGGACGGTATGAGAGTCTATTCCGTAATAGATTTTATTATGGCTTGTTTCGCATATAAATTGGTTTTGGTTACTAGGATATTTATTAGCTCGTCATCAAGAAATAATTTATAGTAAGCAAATATATATTCACCTTTCATATCTTGTACTTCTTTCACCAGACCAATGTCCCCATCAAAATCAAAGTCTTTGGGATCTCCAGCAACTACGCCCCAATCCGACACAACATCTTGCTCTTCATCATTTGACGACTCATTTATTTCAGAATCCACAGATTCTTAAAAAAAAACATGGTTAGGAAAGTTTTACGCTAAGTAGTTTATATTCCTTGTGTTATTGTTAGTCGGAAAAAAATTGCAAATATCTATGACGATTCGTTCATACCACAATAATTGTAATACCACAATAATAATATTAAAAACTCATAATAATTATTATTATGAGTTTTTTAATATTTGATACTAAATTTTTATTACCTATTGAGAAACAATCTTGAGTTTCGTTTTGATGTTCTAACTTTGGTAAATAATAAAATTCCCTCAGTGATCAATTGAAACAACCGGTAAATAAAATGTCAAATTGTATACAATATATATGCAAAAGAAAAAATTACTAACCTTTAAGTTCCAGATTCTCAATCCTACGTCTTTTTGTTCTTGAAGGTTTGGTTCGTTGAAAGTCAATATACTACTGCCAGCACCCAAACTTTCTTGTTGGTACACAGGGTCATTATCTGAATCGTTGTAATATGGATCCTCGGTATCATCGCTCATATTTTCATCCCATAAACTTAATCTGCGTTGTTCTTTCTCGTAAGACATTATGCACAATAATTAATGTAAAAGCACGTTGCGAATGTTTCTTTACAACTGACGATCTCTCTCGTGTTCCCGAATTACTGGTCATCAACGTTTTCGTCAAGGTTAGACGTGGTAAGTCCTCTCCTAAATGTGTATAGAAAAGTATACACTTGGCGCACAGAGACATTTTCCATTCTCTAGGCCGAGTGTATATTTTTGGCACACACACCAAACACACATGCGTACTAATATTTTTTGTCAAAAATTTTGTTTACTATGTTAATTAAGTAATTTAGAGATACTTTAAAGAAAAAGTCGTGGCCCAACGGAACCCTCCACTAGTTTGGCGTGGCGGCCAAAGCGTTAAATAATGAATTAATGGAGGTATTAGATTTTATGCCTATTTTGAATGAGGAACCACTCGCTGTGTCGTTATCTTGAAGAAGGGCATAACATCTAATATATTCCTTGATGCCCAGTTTCTCTTTAATAAACTGAACAACTTTTATAGGGATGTAAATTGGAGTTAAGTTGGTAATAATACATAATGGCATTTACTTTCTGTCATTTTTGGCTTTAACTCTGCACTTGATTCGAAATGTTGAATGACTTCAGTTTGGGTACCTGAGTTGGCATAAAATATATTTTTCTTCAATAATTCTTTTTTCGTTGGTATAGTAGATAATTTGTTGGTAATATTACTCATTTGATGGGATATTTCAAACATCATTTCTAACCTCATCTTATTCTCAGTTGAAATTGAGCCATGGATTTGAACCTTGATTATCTTGCTCTATCTACCTTAGAGATTTTAAAACATTATCAAGATTTCAATTTTTTTGTAAAATAGTCCAGTTTGCCTTCATTTTTGGATAATAAATCGTATATGTCTCAATGAAAACATGCAAATTATCAGTTAGTTTTTTAGTTACTTGAATTAAGGCTTCAATGTGCTCTAAAGGTATTTGATTTTTTGATAAAGTAGATATTTTTCCATGTAAATATTTTAAGCCTGACGAGTCACATAATGAACAAAAAAATCTTAGATAGGAAAATGTTTTGTCCAAAGGGGCTTTTGTGGTCGTTTTATTAAGCCCAGAGCATTTCATACCAAAATGTCTCCAACAATCCCCACATACCTCCTTATAGAAATAATTAATTCATATAAAGATGTTTAAAGATTTACAATAAACTTGGTCCATTTATTATAGTTTATTCGTCTTCCGGGTTTGGACCGTGTCATTTGTGAGTGACCCAAAAGTGGGTTCATTTAAACAATAATATTTTTTTTATAAAATCGGACTTTCGAACATAAATAAATAAATAAATTGGAAATATGCAATACAGTTCTGATTTAATTGTAAAATTATTCCAATATTTTAATAAGAATTTGCTGAAGTCCTATTAAGTGAAGATCTTTTTTGTTAATTCTTCTCTTTTTAAGATAAACAAGAGTGGAATCATGCCACCTTAAGTCAAAGTGACTGCGGATGTCAGTCTAGACTTCCTCCTACAGAACAGTCATGTCAATGTTGTGAATGTAAGGAAATCGGGGTTTCCACTACAAGAAACGCAGAATATTCACAAGTTCCGGAAACTATGTTACAAGAAAAAATTCCCGTGCAAACTATACAAGACAAACAGCCAGACGCAGGTAATGACTTATATCTTAAAACATCAGATTAAACAAATCGAAAGTATGATATTCCTGTTATTCTGTATCTGTTTTAAGTATCTTAATATTGTTCTAAAGCCGTTTGCTTGAGGCTTGCTTTGTTTTATTAACTTTTTTATAGGAAATTAACTGTTTTCAAAGAAATATAAAACGGTTCCGATCTGGTGCCAAAACGTCAAAAATTATTCACAATGTATAACTTGTGGTTAATTTTTAATAGAACAGTTAAAATAATATTCTTACATAACAATAAGCATTAAACTAATAATAATACAATAATAGTAGGTAATGTAGTAATAATATAGTAATAATTAATTTTAAGATATAATGACAGATAATAATATTGTAACTGAAAAATACCAATTAACCGTGGTCTACAATAAAACTAGGTAATTCCTCTGTGGTTCTGTCTAGCGTTCAATCTTCTCTTTCAGTTACTGAACTTTCATTGACTCTGGTTTTGTTAAGAAAAATAGTGGTTAAGCTTAATCGTCTAGATTGAGTGTTAAAAACTGTAGCAACTTTCTCGAATGATATTAGTGCGCACTTCGGACCAGACAAGTGTAGTATTGTTAATATTTTTAGAGGAAACATTCAGCCTTGAGGTTTCGATATGAAAATGCCCAAAACATCGAAGCGATGGTCCAAAATTTTAGGTAGAAATATCTTAAGTAAATTAAACATCAGTCAATCAAACCTAGCCTCGAAAAACTTAAAGATCCAGCAGTATAGGCAGAGATAGAGAAATTAATGAATGATACACTCAAAGAAAAATTTAGTGAAGCACCCGCGGTAGCAGAAGAATCAGTAGAAAGTATTTCGCATACCTTCGAAACCAACAATCACAACTATACGAACAGAACAACTACACGACAACACAAGAAAAACAAAGAATACATGGACGGCAGAAGAAATAGTAGAGTTGATGGACGTAAGAAGATCTTACAAAAATCGCAATGAAGTAAAATATAAAGAAACCCAGAGAACCATCCGAAATAAAATCAGGAAAGCCAAAAAAGAATGGATAAATAGCAAATGTGAGGAACCAAGAGAATTACTAAAAAACAAGACTACTTCAATGCATACAAAAAGATTGAGGAAGTCACAAATATGAAGAAAAAATTTACTACAACCACTCTAGTAGATGATAACAACTAAATAGTATCTAGCCCAGAAAATGTAGTAAATATGTAGGAAAAATACATCGAAGATCTGTTCGATGACGAGAGAACAGGACCACAAATGAATATAGTACAAGACCCAATACTTGGGTCTAACACTACTATTTAACAAAATATATACCACTAATTAGGTATTACCAAAAAATATAGGTCTAATTGCTGCTTTATAGATTCTTGTTTTTGTGTCTTGTTTTAGGTGTTTGTTCTTCCAGATTGTGTCATTAAGAGAACCCACCACTTTACTTGCTTTTAAGCTTTGTTGTCGTACTTCTTCCTATCGGGTATCGGATATCCGATACCAATTTGTAAAAACATTCATTTATTCCATATTGCTATACGGGGTCGAAACATGGACTCACGGAATCACAAGTATGAGACGTGTAAAGGCCTTTGAGATGTGGGTTTTTTGAAGGATGCTGAAGATTTTTTGGACAGAGCACGTGACCACCAAAGCGGTGCTGAGAATAATGAGGACTGAGAGGGAACTAAACATTGTAAAAACCAGAAAAACGAGTTATCTATGACATATTTACAGAGGAGAAAAATACAACTTTCTATGACTGATAATGGAAGGGAAAGTAGAAGGAAGAAGAGGTCCAAAATGAAGAAAATGCTCCTGGCTGAAAAATGAAAGAGACTGGACAGGCATGAACAGACATTCGATACTAAGAACAGCTCAAAATAGAGAGCAATTTTTTGTAGTTATAGCCAACCTTCAGCAATGAAGAGGACATCTTAAAAAGAAATTAAACATCGTTTTATCTCAAACATTAAAGACATCGGTGCAAAAAGGTAGCCCCATATTTTTACGATTTTTCGTTTTTAATCAATGTACGTTCATTCAACGGCGCTCTATCGATTGGTGCAAAAACCAGGCAGCTTCAGTAACTCGTAAGGGAGATATAATAAATATTCAGATCTCTTCTTATTGGATTCAGTATAAAAGGACGGTAGGTCCGGAGCTGCCTCGTTTATGCATGAAATAAAAATTTTTATTTTACCTGCTTCGATGCAGCATCTTCAAAAGTGGAAGACACTGCTGTGACCTCGTTGTCGAGATGCCGTGTTTAGTAAGTTGTTATATATCTTTAATTTACGTCGGAATTCTGTGCATTTTATGATACTTTAAGAGTTTCTTGAATAACGGCAAAATATCGGGGAGTAACGGTAACAGTAACTCCAGGTGACTCCGGAATTAGCCATAAACGATTTTCTGTGTTTAATTTAATTGCTGAAATTTCATTACTGGTGTAAAGTGATTCTGAGAGTAAAGTCGGTGAACAGAAACAAACAGTTTTAAAAAGTAGTCAAGAAGCGAGCTAGAGATGTGAGTAACTGAAATAGAAATATTGCTAAGAAAAGGAAAGCTGAAGGAAAGATCTTTTATCGGCATTAGAAATAAAAATAAATGTCTAAAAGGTAAAAGAGAACAGTCAAAACTGTTACTGTAAATTTAAATGTCTTTAAAAAATTAACGAAGTTTTTAAGCCAGACATTTTAGGAATGTTTAATGATATTTCTGATAAAGAAAAGCTGGCCCTATTTTTTAAGGAATGAGGCAAATAGTTATAAAAAAGGTTACCAGATCTAGACCTAAAGTATGTAGAGGGCTAAAACGTTCTTGTTTCTGTGAATACAATATAAAACTAGGCATAACTTTAAACAGGGTTTGTAAAAATGTTTTTGATTTATTATATGGCCTTAGAACGAAAAGAGTAGACTTATCAAACACTTGAAAGATAATATTCCAGCACCAAAAGATATGTGTGGAAAACACAGCAATCACCCCAATACGATACATGAGAATATAATACATCAAATCGATTTACATATACAGCAATTTCCGAAAAGATGGTCGCATTATCTCTCTCTCTCCAATGGCGCTACAGCCCAAATCGAGCCTTGCCCTCCTCCATAATATACCTCCAACCTTGCCGGTCCTGCACCGATCTTCTTCAGGGTCTCAATTCTAATAAATTTTGCGCGTCCGCAGCCACTTCATCCTCCCACCTTTTCCGTGGCCTTCCTTTTGGTTTTGCGCCCTGCATTTTACTGTCTAGGGATCTTTTTGGCAATTTTTCAGTCTGCATTCTCACTGCATGATCAACCCATTGAAGTCCCTATAAATAACAACTGTTGGTAAATCTCATGGTTGTATCTGGATCTCCATACTCCGTTTTCGTTAATAGCTCCAAATAACTTTCTTAGGAATTTTTCTTTCAAAGACTTCCTTTCAGCTTTCGTTTTGTGTCTTCTGTCATAACCCATATCTCGCATCATAACATACTATTGGACTGATTATAGTTTTGTAGACCCTGATTTTTAATCTCCAGTGTGTGTTTTTGGAGCGGAACACATGGACGAGTTAAAAGTAAGCTTTGTTTCCCTTTACTTTTGTTATTTGAATTTCTGGTTCTTCTGTTCCATCCGTAGTTTATGTGACTCCCAGATATGTGAAATTTCTACAGTTTCAATATCGTCCTCTAATTCAACTGTGGCTCAGTGTTCCCCAGCTCTTTTCTTTGTCTTTTGAATATTTATTTCTAGTTCGCAATCTGTATTTATTTAGTTACTAGATTACCTTTTCCTATATTCAGTTGTCTTATCACGGATCAGGTTGAATAGTGTCGGTGCCAGCCCGTCTCTAGCCCAATCATCGCATTGATGATGGACCGTATTTTGGATGGTTATTATTCTAGGGAAATCTGACGATCTTTAATACAGTATTTCTCAATTTTTCAACCGCAGCACAAAAAAGTACCCTACCACTTACTAACATATCCGACCGAAACTGTTGGTCAATTAGTAGAGAATTGCTTATATCAGGAATGACTTGGTGGATTAGTATATAGTAGAAAGAAATGTAGTGACTCTTCTGCCCTCGGAAACATAATAGCCATTCAGGGTCGGAAGAAATAAGAGTTAGCCAAGAGAGGCGGATAGGAACGATTAAAGATATTTCACTCAAGAAAATTTGACAAAGAGTAAAATGTGAAGATCCTTATGATTCGCTAGGTGCGTTTCGTAAGCGTAAGAGTATTAATATACTTTGTGTTTAGTATGTCATAGCATGGAGCGTAGAGTGTGCGTCATTCATTTTTTTTAGAATGTTCCCACTCTAACTCCATGGCCTGACCCTTTGTTTATCGTTGAACAAAGTACATTTAAGATACTAACTATATCGAGAGGGTCCACTATTAGTTCGTCTTGGTCATCATATATACCATTCATTTGTTTTTTTTTTGTTGAAGATCCCAGCAATTTTTTTAATTTTCTTATGAAGATGAAAGCCGAGTTTTAAATAAATAAATAGATCCAAATGACAAATATTGCTGAAAGTTGATGTAATGGTAAAAATTCCGTTTGGGAAAACCTTATTCGTCCTTTTTTGATCGCTCTATTTTGTATGACTTGTTTGCAACATGATTTTTTATATACGATGTGCTTTTGATATCGGCCTCCTGATTATTATTATTATTTAACAGTTTATAAATTATTTTACCTATCTTGTTCACAATGTATTTACGTTCTGTATGTACCTTTTTGTAAAAAATGCCCGCTATATTTTCTACATTTCTTACTTTAACAATGGTTTAGATACTAAAATTTTAAACGTCTATCATCTTTATTTAAGATTACAATTTATTATCACCATTATATATACCTAATTGCTCTTAATCTAACACACATTTGGTTTTAGATGACGAATACCATTCTGCTTCGGACGAAATTATAACTCAAGCAAATGAAACCGTTGCATCTTCAGAAAGGATTATAGATAGTGTTTTTCGAGAAAATGGTTCTGCAAAGGACAGAATAGTCGTTGAAGCTCAAGATATCGCAATAAAACATGGAATGCTCCTTCCTTTAGATAAAAAAAGAGTAGCTCAGGATAAGGAAATAATTCCAACAGGAGTTGTACTTCCTGATGGAAGTCGTGTATTATCTAACGGAAATATTCAAAGGCCAGATGGAACTATTATAACACATGATGGGGAGATTCAACCATTAGCTACTACTTTTCGTCCGTTTCCGTTAAACGGAACTACTATACAAACAGATTTAAGTAAACAAACAAAAAAACATCAACTACCTGAAGGATACATTATAGAGCCAGATGGCAGTATACAACCCTTGGGTAGCAAATTATTACCAGATGGAACTATTTTAAGACCAGATGGAAACATTGTTTACCCTGACGGAACTGTCAAATCTTCCGAAGGGCAGATTCTTCCTCTTAAAAAATCGATAGAATTAAGTCAAAGCTTTATGTTGCCTGACGGGACAATCGTCCAAGAAGATGGTACCATCGTAGGACCAGACGGTAGTATTTATCCAACGGGAAGTAGACTTTCTCCAGGCGGTACCATTTTATTACCCGATGATAAGTCAGGTCAAAAACATCAACTACCTGAAGGATACATTATAGAGCCAGGAGGAAGCATACAACCTTTGGGTAGCAAACTATTATCAGATGGAACTATTTTAAGACCAGATGGAAACATTGTTTACCCTGACGGAACTGTTAAATCTCTCGACGGGAAGGTTCTTCCTCTTAAAAAATCAATAGAATTAAGTGAAAGCTTTATGTTACCTGACGGTACAGTTGTCCAAGAAGATGGTACCATCGTAGGACCAGATGGTAGTATTTATCCAACGGGAAGTAGACTTTCTCCAGGCGGTACCATTTTATTACCCGATGATAAGTCAGGTCAAAAACATCAACTACCTGAAGGATATATTATAGAGCCAGGAGGAAGCATACAACCTTTGGGTAGCAAACTATTATCAGATGGAACTATTTTAAGACCAGATGGAAACATTGTTTACCCTGACGGAACTGTTAAATCTCTCGACGGGAAGGTTCTTCCTCTTAAAAAATCAATAGAATTAAGTGAAAGCTTTATGTTACCTGACGGTACAGTTGTCCAAGAAGATGGTACCATCGTAGGACCAGATGGTAGTATTTATCCAACGGGAAGTAGACTTTCTCCAGGCGGTACAATTTTATTACCCGATGATAAGTCAGGTCAAAAACATCAACTACCTGAAGGATACATTATAGAGCCAGGAGAAAGTATACAACCTTTGGGTAGCAAACTATTATCAGATGGAACTATTTTAAGACCAGATGGAAACATTGTTTACCCTGACGGAACTGTTAAATCTCTCGACGGGCAGGTTCTTTCTCTTAAAAAATCAATAGAATTAAGAGAAAGCTTTATGTTACCTGACGGTACAGTTGTCCAAGAAGATGGTACCATCGTAGGACCAGATGGTAGTATTTATCCAACGGGAAGTAGACTTTCTCCAGGCGGTACCATTTTATTACCTGATAGTAAGTCAGTAATACAAGATGAAACACTTGTTGATAACGGTAAAATTTTAGAAAAAGCAATTGTAAAATCAGAAGAGATTATTCCAAAACAAAACGATGTATACAGTTCCACAAATCAACTTAAAACTAAATTTGGAAGTAGGGAAAGCCCACACGAAATTGATATAGGAACACAAAAAATATCTCAACAAATAGAAGGAGTTTTAACTAGAAGTAATTATTTAGATGAAAGGTCCGTTACCAATATTACACAAGAAGATAAACCAATTATAGTAGCAGATAAAAGTGATAATCTTTTTGATAATGATATAAAAAAAGATATAAGCACACCACAAGACGGTGTAACAATAAATGGTAAAAAATATGATGATAACATTGATATGCAAATAGATAAAATTAATGCTAAAGGAAGCGTTACACTAAGGGATGCTTTAACTACGAAGATCAGTGTGGGTGTATCTGAAATTACTGAGACAGTTACAGCGAAAAATGAACAATATAATCAAATACCTGGTTTAATAGGTAAAGATAAAGAAAATGAAGTATTAACCGACAAAGAAGCTGCTACAGTAAGTGAGTTACCAATTCAAAGGCAAATTACACCTGAAAGTCTTCCCATAATTTCAATTACTCCTGAAAGTGACACTGTTACACCAAAAACTTATTCTGAAACAAATGCTGATACTATAAAAACTGATGAAATAAAATCTCAACCTGGAATAACAGATAAAGTTGGACTAGATGACGCATTAAGGGATAAAGAAAAAGGTGCTTTCAATAGGCTACCAATCAAAACTCGAGCTACAAGTGATAGTTTTCCCACACCAACAATTACACCTGAAAGCACCATTGTGAAACAAAAAAAATCTGGGTCAATAAATAAGTTACCAATTAAAACACGAGTTACAAGTGATAGTTTGCCCATACCATTAATTAGACCTGAAAGTGCCACTATGAAGCAAAAAATATTGAGTTATTCGGAAACGGATGCTGCCACTATAAAGACCGATAAAGTTATGTCCCAACCTAGTGAAGCGCTTACAACTGCAAATGGGCCATCCGGCATGATAACTAAAGATGGATCAGATAAAGTACTGAAGGATAAAGAAAAAGCTGCTACATTAAGTGATCTACCAATTAAAAGCAAAGCTACAACTGATGGTCTTCCCACAGTTGCAACTACACCTGAAAGTATCATAATTACACGAAAAATTTCAAGTATTTCTGATCAAGATATATCTCAACTTAGTGAGGAACTTGTAATAACAAATGGAGAATATTATCCACCATCTGGCACAACAGCTAAAGATGGAGCATATGACGTATTGAAGGATAGCGATAAAGCTGCTCAAATAAGTGGACTACCAACTAAAAGTCAAATTACAGATAATGATCTTCCTACACCGTTAATTACTGCTGAAGGTGCCATTATCAGAGAAAAAGATATTATTCTAGGCACCAATGGATCTGTTATAAAATCAGCAATAAAAACCAGTGAAGATTTATCCAAACCTGAAATTATGCCTGAAAGTGCAATTAGCACAGAAAAAGTGAAGACTTTCGCGCCTGATGGATCTGTTATAAAAACTGAAGAAACGGTTTTAAGAAAGTTTGAACCTAGCGAGACAATTCCAATAGCAAATGAACAACAATATCCAATATCCAGTACAATAGATAATGATGAACTAGATCAAATATTACAGGAAAAAGAAAAATCTGCCACAGCAAGTGGGCAACAGCTTGAGGGTAAATTTATGACTGACAGTCTTCCCATACCGCCAATTACCACTGAAAGTACTAGTATCGCAGAAAAAACAGCCGTTATATCTGTTGAAGAAATTGACGAAACAGTTTTAAAAACATTTGAAGCAGACGTTCCAATTGTACAGGATGATATGTCTAAACCTAGTGATGCAATTACAACAACGGAAACAGGTGAAAAATATTATTCATTGCACGCACTAGATATTGGTGAAAATCAAATATTAAAGGATCAAGAAAAAGTTGCTGAAATAAGTAAGCCATTAATTAAAACTCAAATTACACATGAAAGTATTCCCATTTATTCAATTGAGCTCGAAGATGCCACCATCACTGAAAGAACTGGTGTAGTAGCTCCAAGTGGAGACATACAGCTAGAAGAAGAAAGTGTCAAACTGATAACTGCTTCCCCCGCTGGAACTTTTACGAAAACAGGAGAAATTGCTGTTTATCCACCTCATGTTGTACGTCCTATAGATGGAGGTGTATCAAGTAGTTCTGAACAGCTTATTAGACTAATTGATACAGAACTGGGTGAAACTGTTTTGAGTGAAAGAGTTAAACATTTAGACGACTTAGGTGAAGCCATATATGTAGATAAACCGATTATAGATTTTGACAGCATTCATAAAAAGAGCCAAACTGAAAAGATCGGTAATGGTAGAGATAAACTAAGCAAAATGGATAAAAGACACTCATCAGAAGTACCCGACTTTGTATCAAAACTATCTTATAAAGACATGCCTCCACCGCTTGAGGTAACTGATAGTAAAAGGCCTAGGAAGAAGCGTTCCTCTAAAACCGATATTAAAGTGTGCACTTGTCATAGTTCTTGCACGTGTATTTTATGTTCGTCAGAAATTATGGAAAAACGAGCAAGTAAACCACCTAAAAAAGAATCTAAAATTAAAGAAAGTAAAACTTGCTATTGCAGAGGAACGGGAAATAAAACTCTAACCCAACTTTCTCCTCAACACACTGCTTATCCTAATAACCTTTATCAGCCTCCTCTTCTATATCCTAAACGAAAATGTGAAACCTTTGTGGGAGGTCCTCCATGCAATAAACCGAAACAGCAATTTAATTTGGAAAAAGGAGTAAAGCAAAGATCAAAAATAAGCATCGATGACGTATTTAAGCCTAGCACATACAAACGTGATGTTGAAAAGCCTTTAAAAAAAGGAGTTTTCAAAAAAAGGTAAGGACATATGAGCTTATTCTTAAATCATAACTTAAAAGGAAATGTTGAATTTTATTAAATCGTGTTTTATACCATTTTTCTACGTATATTCGCGTGTTAAAGCTCTATGAGTTAACATCGACGAAGTGATAAAGGTCCGGGCTAATTGATTTTGAGTTTATTCTATTTTGCTTACGCTCACAATTAGACCAGGCGGTGTCTGTCTTGGGTAAATCGTATATGATCCTTATTGCTTTATTCGTTTCGAAATTTAGCTCTTAGAGCTAAAATTGAGTCGGAATTGTGAACAGAAATGGAATGTTCATAAATCCTATTTTGGATTCTACGTCTTGTTTGGCCTATGTAGGATCGGGGACAGTCTGCATAAGGAATTTCATAAACTTCGTCTTGTTCATTGGAAATATTGTCTTTGATTGCTCGGACAAGAGATAAAAGTTTTTGTTGGGGGATAAATATTGTCTTTATTCCTCTTGGTTTAAGAATTTTATCGTTTTGTCAGTGATACTTTTGATGTAAGGAAAAAAAGCTTTCGTATAATGAAGGTCTGAGTCTTTGGGTTAAGATTGAGTGTGATGTCTGTGGATGGTCCCATTGATGTAATTTTTGCAGTAACCGTTTTGGATGAGGGCTTGTTTTAAACTAGAGAGCTCAGCGGGTCTACTTACATCATCGCAAAGACATATTGATCTGGACACAAGCGTATTAATGACTGAATTCATTTTTAAAGGGGGATGATGAGAGTTGGCATGCAAGTAACCATTGGTATGGGTAAGTTTTCGATAAAAAGAGTGATGAAAACCTTGGGATTGATTTTTCTTTATGATAACTTCGAAAAACAGTAAAGATAAATCAGTTTCCACCTCCATCGTGAACTGGATACTAGAATGTATACCATTCAGATGGGTTTGAAAAGACACCAAAGCCTCCATGTCATTGGGCCAAATGACGAATGTATCGTCAGCATATTGTAGTCAACATGTGGGTTTGAGCATTGATGTGGATAGTGTTCGGATCTTAAAGTCTTCCATTAAAATATGGACAATTACTGGGAATTGTAGGGAGCTCATTGGGGCACGATTTATTTATCTGTAGAATTGATTTTGAAAGATGAAATAAGTGTTGGACATACAATGTTTGATGAGAGATAAGTGGTCTTGTTGAATACTGTATTTAGTTTTCAGAATATTTAGAGTTTTATCTATACGAATGTTTCTAAAGAGTGCAACGATATCGAAACTTGCTATAATGTCTGGACGTGAGATCGGGTATTGCTTTAGAAGTTCGATGAAATGAAAAGAATTTTTGACGAAGGATAAAGCAGTTTCGGCGAGAGGTTGTAGAGTTTTGACCAAGAACTTGGCCAATGGTTGTATAGGGCAGTTGTATGCACTGACAATCGAATATAGAGTAATATCAAGTTTGTGGCTTTTGTATAGGCCCTATATTCGAGTTGTTCTGGAAGGGTTGAATCTTGAATATGTTCCACCACTATTTTTCTCTGGTAGCATAACCTTTTTTCTGTTTGTGAGATATCGATTCTGATTCTGTTGGTGGTAATCGTTGTCATTTAGTATTTAGCAGATCTTGCTTCGGTCGACCCGATCAAAAGATATTTTAAATTTCACTAAAGCTGTACGGATTTCAATGTTACATGCTCTGCTCTTTACTATGTCAGTTGATTATAAATCTATAATCAGTATATAAGCACCTTTATCGGAATCCATTTTGTTCCTCTTGTGCAAGTACTTTGGAAATAAGTTTTTGCTTAAAATCTTAAGGAGACACGAGTCTTGCATATATAATTAATTCTGTATTTATCTCATTAATTCCTGTAGCGTTTTTACTTTTCATGTTTGATTTTTTCATGGTTTGTATTTTGTTCATCAAGTTTAGCTATTGTCATGTATTAATGTGTAATTATTTCCTATCTAAGTTTATGCATTATGTTTCTCTTCGATCGCTGTCCGTAATTATTCGTTCCTCTATTGCAATTTATTGTTGTCGCGTGTGTCCTCTTTTCTCGATTGCTTCTTTTGCCGACTTGTCTATGTAAGTTTTAATATTTTACCATTTTTTTGTTAATACCATTGCTTCTTATAACTGTCGAACTCTTCATGAGTTTTCATTTAATCTGCTCTAGTGTAAATATGTTATCATCATCTCTTAAAGTAGATGCACTTTAAATATTTCTTCGATTGACGCTGATTTTTGGTGATGACTTTATTCCTTCTAGCTAGTGATGGTAGTATTATTATAAGTAAGAACTGGTCCAAATAAATTTCACTGTTCTTATTTACGTTTTTCAGTCGATGTATAATATGTGAGAAATTACATTGTCACATTTTATAGTATCATCGATGAGATTTTAGGTTAGCAATGTTTTTATGTTACTAATTTTAATCTAAATTTTTCAATTTTTAGACATGGGGCCGATTGCGAATGTGTAGACTGCCTATGTTCGCCAATGATCCGAGCTCTATCTACGACTAGAGAATTCTTTAAAGTCCGGGACACCAAGCAAATATACCAGGTCTCAAACATCAAATGTTTTTGTCCAAATACAAGCAAAAAAATATCAAAAATTCCCATATCCACTAATCCAGCAGTACCAAAAGTAAGATCTACCGCAGTAGTCTGTACTTGTGACCCATGTGAATGTCAACCTTGTAGTGATACTAAAAAAGATGCTGCTGGTACAATAAAAGTTGATGAAAGTAAGTATTAAGTACTAATTTAGTTTTTATTATATTTCTCATAAAATATCAGTATATAGAATACAGATACTTGTCTTATTTTCATAAAAGTATTTTTAAAAGATGTAGTACACATGTACTACTGACATATAATCGATAGATCTATAATTGTTTTATTGTTAGATCTATAATTCTTTAGGTCACATTCTTTCGTTTTTTGTGTAGCAGCATTACTATACTCTCGTTCCAGTTTCGAATTTTGCTATTATGGAAACATCTATTAAGTAGCTTTGTTAGTATTCGGATTGTTATTGTCTTACTTGTTTTCAAAATCTCGGAAATTATAGCGTAGTGTCCTTGAGCTTTATTATTTTTAAATATTTTAAAGCTTCGTTTATTTGAAATCGTTCTATATTTTTTAGTAAATATAATCCTGCGTTTATTGTTTTTCTTTTGATTATTCTCATTTGTTGGTTCATTAGGATGGCTTTGCTAGCTGTACAAGGTTTTATAGAAGTCTTCACTATCTGTGTTATTTTGTTGCTTTCTATGACTTGTTCTATTAAGTTCTCGTTCCAGTTTTTAATATCACATTTTAGTTCTTTTCTAATTATTTTGTTTAGTTCTACGTATTCTTGAGTATGGCGTTTATGTTCCTATAGGAGATGTCTTCTTTCCTTCATTGGTTGCTTAGTTTTGTTGCTTTTGTTGTAGGCCGGTTTCGAGGAGTTTTTTTTATATTATTGTTAACGTCGTGAATTTGTTCCTGGTTATGTGGAGGATCTGATTCAATTTTACTAGCTAAGACCTTTCGGAATTCTTCTCCATTTGTTCTTACTTAAAGGCATCTAGTTGCGTTGTTTTTTAAAGATCCCTTTTGTCTCTTTTCTCGTATTAATATTTTTTTTTCTCTAACTATAGGATGGTTGTGACTTTATTTATTGTCTTCAAATATTCTTTTGTTGTGAGTATTGACTATTTCTCCATATACTGGTATTCTTTTGTTGTTTGAGAAAAATAGTATGTTTGTTTAGGTAGTTCCGATAGGTGCGGTCCGTTTCCACTTTCTGTTAATAAGAAAACATACATGTTTTCTTATTTCAGGAATATCATACGTTTTTCTCCCCTTGTGTTTCTTGTGCTGAATCCAAAATTTCCAATCTTGTTACCAGAATATTTCATCTTTCGTACAATTTTGCTGGTAAAGTGTTTCTCAGTATTTTTATTTTAAATACTTTGTTGTTCTGAATACCTTTTTAACGTCTTCGTAAAAATTATTTATTTCATCATTAGTTGCTTTTTGTTGGAGCATAAACCTGCACAATCGTTATTTTGGTTTGTGAATTTCGGTTGTAACACTGTCTGAGATGCTAGTAATTATTTGAATTTGTGATATCCTCCTCCTTCTGATTGATTAAAAAACCTACTTCACCGTATTTAAATTCTTCCTTGCCTTTATAGTAGAGCCTATTGCATCACATACAATCATGTATATATCAATATACATGATTGTCCCAGTATGTTTTCTGTTATGGAACGGATCTTCTTCACTGTCGACTGCCCCCTCACCCCCAAATCCACGAAGCACACCATTGCTTCGGAATGGGATTATGGTTTAAAACGATTTGGGGTACCTTCCGTGTCCTTGTTAAAATCGACATTTTGTTTTCTAGAGGTTTACTTTCAGGTATTACGTTTATTCTGCTTTTACTCGGTCGTCAGGCCTTGTTTGTGATAACGGGGATCACCAATGTGAAGGTGTGGCATTTGAGTAAAAAACACTATTTGAGACGCATGACTGCCCAATTAGAATTCATTTAGAGAAATCACTAGAATTTAACAAACCGGCATATTTATGTTTCGTTAAGAAGGCATTTGACAAGGTCAAATTAAAGGACGTACTTACTGTACGCACGAGAACCTCTAGAAATATTCAAAACAATCGAAAATATCTACAAGAACAACACAATAAAAGTACAAGTAAGGGAAGAATTAACTGGCCAAATTAAAGCTGGCAATATTATAAAACAAAGGAATTCCGAGCCTTCTATTGTTTAGCCTGATCATGGATGAAATAGTAAAAAATTAAGTAAGAACGAAAAAGGGATAGCAAATGAAAGAAGACCAATTTAAAATAATCTGCTAGGTAGACGACGCAATACTAATTTCTCAAAGTGATGATAAATTACTACATATGCTGCACCAATTGAATACAACCGCCAAAAAATTTAATTGTTGTTTAAATGTTAATTCCTCAAAAAAGACAACATGCGTGGTTATAACAGCAAATCTACTAAGATGTAAATTAGAGCTGGATGGTCAGTTAATAGAATACTTGATTTAGTTTTAATATTAAAACAGAAGAGAAAAATCAAGTGAACAGAACAGGCAAAGCCGCAGGATACCGGAATGAAGCAATATTGAGAAATAAAAATATCCAGAAAGAAATCAAAACAGTATTTACAGTCATCAGACCCTACACGACCCGACCCTACTAACAAACACGACCCGACATAGATAGCACAAAAAAAGGTTGAAACAACACATGTGAAAACTTTTAAAAAAATATTCGGTAACACACTATGGTACAGGGTTAGAAGTATAGATATACGATGAAGATGCACAGTGTAAACAATCAAGGACTGTGTAAGAATGAGTAGGGTAGAATAGAACAATCACATAAGCCGAATGACAATAAATATAGAAGTAAAGACTGCGAAAGACAGTTCCCCAATAGAAACACGATCAGTGGAAAAACCACGTAAACGATGGAATGGGGATCAACTTACTGGGGGCACACTAAAAAATAGAAAGTCATTTCTACACAGAAATAAAAATAAAATAGTTAATCCATACACATAGGAATACACCATGAGCCATAAATATATAATTTGTTGACGTGTCTCTATAGCCTCATCTAGTAATCGTAAATGAACCGCATGACTCAATATGTATACTCTTGATTAAACATTTATATATTGTTATGATACAACAGTTGTTACATTTAATTATTATTAACTTAAAACAAACATATCTTGGACCGATTATGGTTAGAGATGGATGTCTTTTATTAACATTTTTCTTTAAACGACCACGCTATTTCGCAATTTTTCAAGTTTACAAACTTTAAAAAGTATATATTTTTTTATTTGTGAACAGAAGGTGCTCTGATACTGCCAACGATGGATGAAGTCATGAAAATGACTCCAGAACAATTAAAGGCTTTATGTGACTGTGATCCTTGCAATTGCGAAGTGTGTTACAATAAACCTGCTCCACCCGCCCGCGACGACGTTACTTGTGATCTACCTTCTGGTGATCAAGGTAAATAAATATTTAACTATAATCCTAATTTTTTATTTACTTTTAGTAAATTCGGTATGTAGTTAGTTTTAGTCAGACGACTTTTTATTTTCGTAAATATGTAGTTGAGGGGTATAGTTTCAAAGTTTATAAACTCCATATTTCACAAAAGATAAGATAGATGTGGTATTACGTCAAGTTTCTGGCCCTAAAGCGAAACAATAGAAAATCTCTTTTTAAAATAGTCATTATCCAATGAACTTGTTTTTGTTTTTAGCAGCAAATATTTTAAAGCGTGCAATATGCTATAGAGTATTGTCAATACGAATTTCCCATTAAAAACGTTGTTTTTACGTTATAGCGTTAGTTGTTCATTGCATGTAATTTGTAAAGTAGCACAGTTTGTTTACTAAATTACTATCATATTTTTATGAATTTTTAAAGTCATAAATCGTGTAATGGGGGAAAAACTTACTCCGGTAGCTAGTAATAAAGCACGAAAAGGCAACGTATTACCACATTGTGGAAAAGAAGTCAGCAAAAAAACTGAGATAACCTGCATAAAAGGTTTTTTGTATTATATCCCTTTGTACAGACATAAATTTTACTTTAGCACGAAGAAAACAAGCCACGAAAGCACTCCACGAAGTGGTATGGAACAACACGCAAACCAAAAGAAAATAAAAGAAACTGATGTTTTACAGCATAGTGATGAATATTACCCTATATTTAACGGAACTATGGCCAATGACAACATTAATACAAAATAAAATAAAAACAATTGAACTAAATTTTATAAGAAGATGTCTACAAATCACCAGAGCGGATAATATAAGAACATAAGACATATGGAACAAAATGGAAGTAGAATACTAAACTACAAAAAAGTTGGAAAACAGAGCCCTGCAGTGGTACGGACATATACAAAGAATGCCAGAGCGTAGTTGGTCTAAAAGAATATTGGACTGGAACCCTACTGGAAGAAGACGGAGAGGAAGACCTGCTACAGGATGGAAAATATCCATAGAAAATGCTATGATAGATAGAGATTTTGGAGAAAGTGACTGGGAAAATAGAGTGCTGTGGAGGATGAAAACGGTGAACTCATAATGGGAAGAAGCCTAAAAAAAATAAGAAGATGATACTACTAATAAATCAAACACAAAGGTAACGGCGAGTCTTCATAAACACTGTTTGTTAAAAAATATGTATATTTAACGTACGAAAAACAATTAAATATAAATATTTAAATGATATGATAATAATGTATCAAGATAATACAAACGCTGTAAAAACAAAACTTACAATTGTTCGTGGGTGAATCAATCACCCACAGTCGTCCTATGGCTGTCTCTGTTCGATATATGCTGTTGTGTATGGACAGACAGCTTAAGTTCATCGATTTAGTTTCTGTGAGTAGGAAAGAAACGTAATATAAAAAATAATTCGTAAATAATGTCATAATTGTGCAAAGATCTAGCTGATGGACTATATATGACACTTTATGTGATAGTGTAAAAAAACCGGTACCTATGATTGGTTTTTATAATAGACCAATCTAAAATTTATGTTTGACCTTTTTCTTCTTATATTTTGTATATTTTAGCAGATATGTAGTGATTATAAATCTTATTGTCCTTTTAAAGCAGGCTCCCCATCGTTCTGTGTATACTGAATCGCTTTAAACCTAGTAGTAGTCTAACGTCAATTCGTCTTTTTCTTTTCCGTC